GCTTATGCCCGTATAGAAGGGGATATGATAGTCTGCGCGGCATATGCACATGAACTACCAAAATATGGTGTGAAAGTTGGCCTAACAAATTATGCTGCAGCATATTGTACAGGCCTGCTGCTGGCCCGCAGGGTATGTACAAGATGACTTTAATAGATGTACTTTGGGGTTGGTTTGTTTTGATTGTATTCAGTGTTTGCACATGAGTAAAAGATTTTGAGCTATGGCTTTAGGACAGTGCTGGCTGTTCTGTGGTTTACAAGGTTATCAGCAGGGAAGATGATTTTATAAATACAAAGTTTGATTGAAGTGACTACATTTCTGATAATCACGAGGTGGTTATTCTATTTTTAGCCTCATTGTGGGTATAGCTAGATGAGCTCTGTTCAGAATTGTCTGTAATGGTGGGACATCTATAATTTACTGTCTTTGTGATGTAGTCACTAGCCTGTGGCTGTTGAACACTTGGTATGTGGCTAGTGCTACCGAGGAACTGAATTTTTTTTGAGAGAGAGAGAGAATTTTTAATATTTATTTTTTAGTTTTTCGGCAGACACAACATCTTTCTTTGTATGTGGTGCTGAGGAACGAACCCAGGCTGCACGCATGCCAGGCAAGCGCGCTACTGCTTGAGCCACATCCCCAGCCCAGAGGAACTGAATTTTTAATTTGAATTTGAAAAGCTACTTGCCACTAGTGGCTACTTAAATTATCTACCAAAGATCCTCATTACTCAAGTATACATCTTTGGACCATCAGCATACATTAAAAATACAGACTTGTGGGGTTTCCTCTCTAGACTCTCGGAATCTTTATTTTGACAGGATCATTTGATGGGTGTACATTAAAATTTGAGAGATGGTGTCTTTAGCATTCACTATATATTAGTAGTAGTAGGCAATACAAATGTTATTTTGCTTTTTTTTTATTATTTCAGTTACTGACTTTGTTTTGCAGTGTAGTTGAGACCCCACATCTTCACTGGTTATATACATGTTTAGTAGGTGTCACATGGTCATTATATATGAGA